ATTGTTTCTCTGTGTATGGATTGTTATGTTGAGGACTCTTGTGCAATATGGCTGACCTTCAGTTTCAGCTGATGCTGAATAAATGACTTTATCCAACTTATTTGCTCCAGAACATTTAACTGTAAGATTACTAGAATGTCTTTAAAATATTTTGGGGAATTATTGTAACTTTATAGAAGATACTGATGTAGACTTATAGTCCTCTAAATCATAATTTCCACATTGCGTAACCTCAGAAACTAGTGTGGTTACTGCATTCACTTTTTATAAGGTGACCAAATAAACAGCTTTGTGCCATGTGATTCTCTTCTCTTGCAAATGAAAGTCACTTTCGGCTTTTCCCATTTAGGGGTTGCCACAGCAAATCGTCACACTGACAACTCGCATGCTGATATTTGGCACGTGTTTTACGCAGGATGCCCTTCCTGACGCAACCCTAACTCGAACCCGGGCTGCAGCAGCGAGAGCCCGGCGCCTTAACCACTAGCCTACCAGGGACGCTTCTCTTCGCTTGCAAATAAAACAATCAAAATATATAAAATATATTGACACCATTTTTGAGAACAACTTCTAAACTAAACTTGAGGTGGAATTTTTTCTGGTCATCTACTGTTTCCGAGGTTTGGAATTAGCTTTGATTCAAATGTATTTATATTTGTTAACAATTGCTGCATACTATATGACTGAGAGAAAGTCACTGGATTAACAAAGAAACTAGGATACATCCCCTGGGAAAAATATATGTCTGCGTGGTAATCATGGTTTTCCATCCAATGGTTGAGATATTTCGCTCAGAACCAAACCGACTTTCCCCCAGAGCCAGGGAACAACCTTTTAAAACTAGAAGGGTACTGCCATGGCTGCTGCCATTTCTGCCTTGCTAAAGCTCACCATGCTCAGACTGCTGTAATGACTTTCCCCAACACCGGTGAACACTAAGTGGGCACCCTGCGGGCAAACCGATTACGTTCAGCTGACCTGGAAATGTCTGCTCTTACTTGCGCCCAACACCACTCAGAGCAAGGCTCAATCAGCATACGGCTCTTACTTGCGCCCAACACCACTCAGCGAGGCTCAATCAGCATACAGTTCTCAGCCACACTAGAGTACAGCTACAGGAAGTGCTTCTCACTACAGCGGCAGTGAGAGATGCGCTGACAGCTTCCAGCTTCCTGGCTGCATTAATCCTTCACTGGAACTGAAATAGGAAATGGAGCTGGGGCATTACAGTGTGTGTATGTGTGTGTGTTGGAGGGAAATGAGCAGGGAATATGATGTCAAGCTAATTTATATTGATGCTTTGGTGGAGTTTGAATTTTGACTCTTCACACAGATTATCCAATGTAAGACGGTCTGAAATGAGGATGGGTTTGTAACACTTGTGATATACTTGCTTTTTACCCTTTTGTAGCCAGCTTCTCTCTTTGCCTTCAAGCGTCGCTGTTTGGAACATGTATGGACACATTTGATTCATACAAACCACAACTCCACACTTAGTCTCCCCTCAGGTGGCTGGTGACCACTGCTATAATGTTAATGTTACGATCACAATAATTAAAAAAAGGTGTCAGCAGCAAAAAGCTTTTTTAATGCCTCTAAAGCTTTCGGCCAGTGTTAATGGTTACACTGTTCACACTGGCTTAACTGCATCCTGCACAAGCACAGTGTTAATTTCTGAGCAAGTGAAAGCATGCAGCCATGATGTACATGAAACCCACAGTATAAAGCAAGTACATCAGTGCTATAATAATAGGGTTACAAATGACAAGTTTGACCTTTACCGGCATCAAATCTACAGCTGCCTGTGTAGCCACAGGAGGTAGTCTCAGTCCCTTCGTGCTCTGATGAGAATTCCACGTCTCCGAGAAGGTAATTGTGCCCTATGTTCTCTTATAGCCATCAGTGTTGAGTGGAGATCCTAATTATGTCCTACAGGGCGGAACCCGAATGCTGGTGGCAACCTAATCTAATCTTCACCTGAGAGACTAATAAAAGGCCTGATACTGTGTGAGCATAAAATGGGATAATGCTGTAAAATTTCAGATGCCACACACACACACACACACACACACACACACACATTTAATTAGGCAAGAAGTTAAGTGTGAATTTTGATAGCTTATCATTTCGGTAAGTTTGTATCAACTCATTTTTAGTGTCACATTACTAATATTCAGATTTTTGGCTTGTTGATTCTTTTGTTTGTTCATTTGTTCAGGCTTATTGATCAACCAGATGTAGTTATTGTTTGTTTCATTCCCTGTTTAGTGGACCTCAGAAAGACTAGCAACCACTTTATGGAAGACAATGTGGATTCAAATAAAGGATAAATAAAGTGCTTAAATGTGATTCATAATAACCGCAAGAGAGAAAAAAAAAAGCTAGGAATCCAGACATGAGCTCAGGAAAGAAAGGGACAGCATTTTAGAGCCGTGACATTACTGAAGGAGCAGACGACTGCAAAAGACAACTTGATGTATTATTCAAAAAGGCCATAAACAACCTTTGGAGACTGACCGTGCATGTAAACTGATCAGTGGCCCTGTTCCTTGACTGGGGGTTCAAGGAGAAGAAAGAGTGAAACATCCAAGGAGGTTAAAAGTTTTATTATTGGCAGTTTGTCTATTTGAAGTCGCTCTTGTCTTTAAAGGATATAATGGAGGTTACTCAAAAGGACAGCTCAGATTCCTATTGTTTTTCAATGAGCACAATGTCAACAAAGGGGAATAAATTTGTGGTCTTGTTTGAAGGCTCATACCAAGCAGCTGCTTGCTGCGAGTGGAGGTTTTGTTTACAGCAGAGTCTGACCCCAACCTTCACCTAATCTCAAGTGCACCATTGATGTACATAAACAGAATTTAAAAACTACTCCCCTGTCATTATTCATCTCATCAATTATATTTCTCTTTGCAAATGCAGTAATTTTTCAAGTGCACCCAGTACTGGGTGCTTTCCCTGCTTACAAGTCGTACACTCCAGCAGCGCTAACAACAACCAGTGTTTATTTAAATCTAAGGAACCCTGCCTGAGTCATTTGCTGAGCATCTAAATAACCAACTGGGAAAACAACATCAAGCACAAAAAGAGCTCCGCTGCTAAAATAAGTTAAAAAGGAATTTCAGACTTAACACTTAGTAAATGGCTTTTATTGTAAAGAATCACAGGAAGCACTGAGTCACAGCCACTACATGACGCTTTGACTGATTCTTCCAGAAGGAAGGAGCTTGGGGTTTAATTATGAGGCTACAGTACATTACAGCAGGGTAAGTGAGCATGCACCATTATGCAGGCTGTGATACTCCTGTGCTGTAGTACTTCAATAAGGAGTCTACTGAAACAGATTGTAGGATTTCAATGTGCCTTTGCCCAGAAGATACAAATATTTGTTACTGAACACACTGCAGTGAGGATGCTGCAAAAGATGCTCTATAATATTCATAATATATATATACACACACACACACACATCTTATCATAAACAACTGTACAACAACAACAACAACACTGTAAACAACCAATCGAGTAAACACGAGCAGAGCGATGGGAGAATATCAGTTACTTCAGCAATGACTGCAGCATAAATATTACATGAAAAAAAGAAACACATTAGTTTGATATAAGCTTGGCTGCCTTTTGAATAAATCCCTGGTGTGATGCTGAATCCCACACACACATACAAACACGCAGGCTAAGACTTTGATCCAAAGCCTCTTACTGGGTTTTGCTGATTTTTTTTTTACCGCTGAAACGAAAGCCCACAGAGCCTCCTCTCAGCTCCCAGTGCAAGACACCCACAATCGGAGACACAAGCGGACAGAAGAGTGCATCCGGGATGAAAGTGCTTCACATCCAGGGCACAAAGTCATCAAGCATTAGCTACAGTTTGTAGTTGGTACACAACTTGTGCTCCTTATAAACATGGGAGTCTACATGGGTGTTCTGGGTGCTGCACATGTTCCAATTCAGATAGTTCTCCAACAACTCTGAAGTCATTGGGCAACACAGTGTTTGCTTCATGGGGCTCCAAAAAAACAACAACACAGCACTCACTTAAGCAATCCGCTGCACTTCCTGCTCAAAAACCCCCTAATAATATTCCCGAGGGGACTTGTGCTGTGTCTGTACATTCAATCGTGAGCTAACAGTGACCTTATCACTCTTTATGGTATTTTTTATTTCAAAGACACCACTATAATGTTGAAATAGAGGCTTGTGGATTTTTCTAATATTTATACAATATCCTTGCCAAATCCAATTCGGCAGGTCAGTGTTGCACAAATTGGATAATAAATATTAAACATTGTGCGCAATAATGCACGGATATTCTTAATAAATGCATAATGACTACTTCTAGTACGTCAAGAATATGTTAATGTGAAGTCTTTCACTAAAGAAACACTTTGAATGCAGGATTTTACTTGTAAGAGAGTACTTTAACACTGCAGTACTGGTACTGTTACTTCAGTAAATGATCTGAAAACTTCTTCCACCACTGGCCACTGAATATTCTGTGATGTAATCTACGGGGACTGCCTGACATTTACAAGTATTAAAGTGATATTTTAAGTGTTTTTATTAGTTATCTATAAGGCTGGAACACGTCATGCAATAGATTTATGTGCAACACTGGAAGGTGTATTTTCTGACGGCCTCAAATGTAACACACCCCCTTAAAAGCCTGACTACACCAGTGCGCACACACAGCAACAGGACTCTACCAAAACAACCAAAACATGCCTTAAACACCGTTTTTCAACAACGAATGTGCACAGAATATCAACGTCCGAGTAAAGAAGACTTGGAACAACAGAAAACATCCCAAAAAGTGACATTTCTTCACATGGTTTGCTTCAAGCATCGACTTTCACTTTGGGAAATAACAGTACTGCTGTCACAACACAGCAGCGTGTCAACCTAACGGTTTTCAAACATGTCCGGGAAATAACTAAACAAATAAAACTATGACTGCGGTAAAGTTGGTGAAAGCTCTGAAAGCTCACCTTGCCTGACACACTTGAGGCGCACGGGGTCTTTGCTGTGTTTGACCACAGCATGGACGTCCCTGGTGGTGAGCCCAGCCACCGGGGTATCATTGACTTCCAGCAGGAGTTCATCCTGGCAGAGTTTGCCGCTCTGGCAGGCCGCTCCGCCCGGGAGAAGCTCGCCGATAACCGGGAACTGTCCATTCTCTGCGCCGCCCTTCAACTCCAATCCCAGCTCCCCCTCCTCGTTCCTGCAAAGGACACTCTCATGGACTTTGTTGGTCCAGTGGTTCTTCCTCTTCTTCAGGCTCTTGGACATGGCTCAAACAAGAGCAAATCACATGAGTGCGGCCGTAGAATAAGTTTTGTCGCTCACTGAAGTCACCTAGTGCCACCGCAACAATGTAGTGTGTCCAGTTTCAACAGTCAGCGCCAGTTTGTATCCATGTCAGCGCACACGCTCACGCACAGCAGCTGGATCATCAGCCTGCCTTTGCAATAACTGAGAGAAGCTCAACTTGTGATGCCTTCACTGACTGTCTCTAAGGTCGACAATCACAATTCTGCAATGCGATGTAATGAAATAGTACACTACAATAAAGGATCATTCCTATATTTGGGGCCGACATTGTTTTTGTTTTTTTAAGTAAAATTTGTATCCATAGTGGAGATTAGATAGGCCTCCACTTTATTAGTAGCATTCTTATGTCCTTGTGCAACTCATTAGTCTTTGCATACTGAATATTTTTGACATAAGCATACTTAATGCCATAATTTAGTCATGTCCATGTCAGTCAGCCATTCAACAACTAGCAATCACAATAATTTATGATGGCCTATAACAGTTTAATAAAGCTAAAAAATTAAGAGGTAGCCCCATCAGAATGGACCTATGCCTGAGTGCACATATAAACGTGAATCACTTTAAAGTGCGTTTGTCCTGTCCTATAGCCTAAATGAGCCAGAAGCAATCAAACCAATACAAATTGAGAATATAATTACTTTTAAACATTTACTGCACCTTACACTTATCCTGTGCTACGTATTTTCCAAAATAAGACTGCACAACTATCTTAAGTGCCAGATTTGTTCAGAAGCATCAAGGATTTTTTTTTTTTTTAACAATTTCAAAACTTCGAAGCTTACAACTTTACGAGCGGCTCTTGAAAGCAGCATCCAGCTCCGACCAACCCGATTGACCCGGATGTGAAGGCTGGAGGAGGAGGAGAAAGGCAAGGCTTTTCCCAAATCCAGCTTTCCATGGAAAAAGCAATGAGGGGAGAGGGAGAGAGAGAGAGAGAGAGAGAGAGAGAGAGAGGGAGGCAGTGTTTTTACAAGCATGGCAGCAGAGCAGCAGTGATAACACCACAGATCCTTCAAATGTTAGGCTAAGGTTTGTAGAGGAGCTGTGGACTACAGTATAGTACAGCATATGCTTCAGAAAGGTGAAACAACTGACTGCTCTTATCCAGTCCTTATCCAGCCCTTATGTCATTTCCTTCCCCATCGAAAGAGGAGTTGCATAAACTGCAGTTTATTTCTAGTTGAACAAAGGTCATGTGATTCAAACACCTAGCTGCTAGAAAAAACTTTTTTTTAATCCTTGTGTGAACTTGACAGCCAAAGAGTTTACTCGCTTGAACACCCTCAGGGTCTTTGGTGAACAAAGCGTTTTTTACAAAACACCCTCAAGGGCAGCAAGTATTTCACACCTGAGCATTTCTCCTCATTAATATTATTCAGATTTCATGAGCATATTTTGTTCCTTCCAACAGCATTTACTGTACGAGACCGACTCGGACAGCTAGGTGTAGAGATTTGTCATGCAAAAATTCCCTTGTGTTCATCTCAAACTAGTGGAAAGAGACATAAAGCAAACAGAGAACTGAATGAATACAATTCATCTTCAAATAAATGCAGGCTGTGGGTTTTTCCTTCATTGGTTTGACAGCTTTAAAACTTCCAGTCCACTTTGTGACAAAGCCTCTTTTAATCTCTTCTCACTGTGGCACTGAGCTCATTTTCAGTAATGATAGTTTGCTGCTTTACTGCCATGTTTGTATAGCTATATAATAATAGCTATTCTATGTTGCAGAGTTACCTGTCAAGTTGATCCCTTTTCATCCTTAAAATCACTTTTTTCTCATAACAAGCAAAAAAAAATGCACACAGAGACATCTTGTAAAGTATATTTAAAGTATGTGTTATTTAGAAGTAGCTTTATATTTTTAGTTGAAAAGGGAGTTGAAATATTTCTATGTAATCCAAAGTAAGATATAAAATAAGCACCAATAACCAGAGATGGCAAAAGTACACACATTGGTAGAATGTAGTAGTACAGATACCTGTGTAAAAAAAAAAAAAGTAGCCCTTCACAGGACATTTTTACCAGCTTTTCATGTGCATAGCAAAACTGAGCCTCACATCATAGTCATGTATTTCTAAAATTCAATTCATATAAACTAAAAAAATACCTAAATTAATTTGCATCAACTCACGAGAACAGATTTTAGGATAATTAAGCCTTAAAGGATAAGCCCAGTCAATTTCTATACTACAGTCCCTATAGAGAAACTAAGACTAACAGTGAACTGCCTCTACTCATGGTTAATGTCTGTCAGTCTCCAACCTGGATTAACTCATCCATCTGTGCCATAGACCTCTGTTGTTGTTCAAAAACAATTAAAAACACATTAGTGAAACACTGGGCGACTGGGTGTTTCTTCATCACAAAACAAAAGACCAGCGTATATGTTAAAAATTACCATAGGTTTTTACAGCATCTGAAGTAAAGCAAGACTCAACTGTGCCAGAAGCTAGCGAACTGTAAATACAGCAGGGCGCTTATAATGAAGAGACACGTCACCCAGTGCAGCAGTGTGCACATTTTGCAGCAAATGCTAAATATAAATCAATAATTCCCCTCAGTTATATTAAAACTAAAAGTAACAAGCCTGATTTGAAAATGTAAGGAGTAGAAGGTACAGATGTGTTAAAATGTAGGGAGTATAAGTAAAAATTGATCAGAAAAATACAGTAAATACTCAAATAAAGTACAGATACCTGAAAAATCTTAAGTAAAGCGACAAAGTGTTTGTACTTTACTTCCCAGCTCAGCCAATAACCCTAGTGCTGTCAAATTTAAAGCAACAGGTTTCGTATTTATAATCTAACTCTAGGCAAAAAACCTATAAACATACAGCCCCATATTTAGAGTATAATTACTCTACACTAAATCTACTTAAAACACTGAAATCAGCCTGTCAAATAACCCCCATGTATAGATCTGTGTCTTTTATTACAGAATGTAGAATCGCCCGCACTCCCAGAAAAACACCAGGGACGTCAGTGTCCTCGGTGATACGGCCCAGCTTGTGACCAGATGCACCTCTCACTCTACTGGGCAGATTTTACTGAATGCATTTTAAAACAAAGGCAGAACAAGGCAGATATCAAAGAGACTGAGTTGTAGGGTGAGGAACAGCTTCACCATGTTGCAGTCAATTTCTCCTCAAAACATTTTTGCTGTCCTTGAGCTGTGATGACAACAACACAAAAAACAATGCATCCTTTTCTCCTCTGCAGGATCTGGAGAGGTGCCCGTGCATTCCAGAGGTGGGAGCTCCGCAGAGTGAAATTTAAAAAAGAAAGAGGAGGGGAGTATTTTAACAAGGGGAGGAATTCTGGAGGCTGTGTTTGAACAAGAAGAGGAATTCTCTGTGCATGGCAGAATAAGTGCTGGGGAGGAGAAGAGAACATCAGCAGCTCAGAAAATGAAAGAACTGGAAAAACAGTGTGGGACACAAGCGTGTGAGATTTGTTGGGTGGGCTCAGGCCTGGCACAGTGAGACCATGAGTGTGGAGTTGATGAGACTGCATTTTAGGACTACGAAACAAAGTGCATGTTTGGAGGACAACACTTTCAAAACACATACGGCAGCTTCCGTTCCTTTCTGCACATTCATACAGCAGGAAATCACTCTGTTCAGCCATCAGTCACATCTCCATGAGCAGATGGGAGCTCAGTGACTCAGCCAGTGATGCTTCCCTTGGGATTGCCACACTGCTCTGCTACAAGATGTAATGGTTATGACAGGCCTCATTGCAGGATTAATAAAGCCGGTTGGCTATAAAGCAGAACTGCCTGATGATGGCATCTACTTCCAGTGAAAAAGGAAAGTTATTGTCCACTTTGTTTGGGCAAACACACACATTTCAGTTCCACAAGAGCTGCTGTTGCTATTTGATTGCTTGTTTGGTTGTACATAATACAGGGTTGAATGACTGAACAGAAGGTGTTCATTCCAAGCTGTCAGTTTGTCTCACTCCAATTCCATCGGATAGATAGAACCACAGTGGCTTGTGTACTGTCTAAGAATGTTTCTACAGTGTGAAGAGCCGTGCCTCAAAATGCAACAGAAAGCTTCTAAGGGTCCAGTAAAAGCTGTGCTCCCTGTACAACTCCACTGCAGACCCCCCCTTGCCCCACTGCTCTCTGACCACTCTGTATGCACCTAATAAAGCTAGCAGTTAATTAAAGAATCTTGAGGTGAAATTCAGGGCTTCTATCTACCGAGTTTGATTTGATTGCATTTGTATGATTATTACAGTGTGTTACATTGAGTTGTGATCGCTGTTATGACCGTCTCCTCTCTACTCCGCCATCCAATTGCTAATTCATTACCTCTCTGGCTTTCACACTAGGCAGGATTCTGGAGTCGTCTGCCTTTCAAGGAAGTGCCACTTCACAAATCCTAGTCTCTCCAACAACATCACCACCTCATCCTCCCCAGCTCCTCTATTCCTCCACCCTATCAACTCGTACAGATAAGTATGTTTTCCCATGTTGAGAGCTTTTAACTCCCTCAAAGTGCACAAAGAGTCCCACTGCTCGCTTCTGCAAAGACTGGCTCAACCTTCCTCTCACGGGGGGAAGTTACATTCACACCATCACGTCCACTGATCTGTCTCCACAAGGTCCATCATCCATCAGAGGGGGAGCAGTGCTACTTTTGCCATGCAATCAACATGCAGGTCTTCAAACTAGAGTTAGAGATTTTGTGCAATATTTTCAGAATATTATATTTGTAGAAAAAAAAAGCACCTATATCTTATCATGAATGTGGAGAATTTGTTTAATAGCAGATTTAACTGTATGTTGGTGGATGACTGGTGATAAAGAAGCTTTGAATCGATGTTCTTCCAAAGCAGACATATGTTGTATCTGACTCTATGCTGCTCAAGGTGTTTGTTTCCAGTGCTCAATAAAAGCACACACATATTTCATTACATATTTACAAAGAGACTGTTGTCTGTGTAGATAAACAGCTGCCAATATAGGGATTTGTACATCCTTAGGTACTTAAATGCAACTTAAATTATATAGGTGTATTAAATAAAACATTTGATTAGTTAATTAAGGCCATGGGTCCTTTAAAAACAACATTTTTTGCGTTAGAATCATCACAACATTTGCAGCTCTGGTTGGATTTATCTGACTGTTAGTTATTCTGCTCTCTACCTTATCCAGTAAGGTTCCTCACTGCTGCCTAACACAT